GAGGATCATACCTGAGCTGCCCCACTCCCCTCTCCTAACTTCCACACCACATAAACGGGAGGATATTTGAGACTCGGCATATTCAACGTATATCGGACTTCGCTGCATGGTGGGTTTTCAGAGACACTAGAGTCTCGAACTCGTGACACAGTAGCCAACAATCCATTATTTTAACTACTAGGCTCCCGAGGTCCTCACGTTGTTGTGGAAGTTCGGAGAGTAAAACAATAGCATAAATGATGTCCTCGTTACTTAACTGAGGTTCAAAATAAGGAGATCATTTAACAACAGCCCTGACGGAGTGAGTGAGTGAATATTTACGCCACACTGTTCAGCTACATGAGGGCTTTTGGCGACGAATTTCTCGCCATTTTGAGCCATGACTAAGTGGCGAGGACGCGATACCTGACTTGGTACTCCCTCTCCTAACTTCCACATCACACCAAAGGGAGAACGTGTGAGCCTGGACATATTTAATGTTATTTGGCATCTTCTACACGGTGGGTTTTCAGTGGCAGTGGGTTTGAACTCATGACACGCCAGCAACGAATCCATGACCTTGTCGTGACCTTTAACGATAGCCCTGGTACAGCTTCAAAATCAGACGTTAATAAAGTAATCAATCAATAAAACTACGTTAATTATAGATAAACCCTTCACAACCAAATCAATCAATCTCAGCTCGTCCCCAAAATAACAATTGTATATATTTTTATTTTCTTAAAACTGAGCATATATTTTCAGTAAACTCGTTTATATGTTATTCATTTTTAACGCTTCTTTATAGGAATAGTCAATAGTTTAATAATGGACAAGGAACCCACTAAAGTAATTGTTGAACCTTTAGAGGTAAATAAAGCATTTCTGTGTATTTATTATTAAGAGAATCAAATATGTGTGAAATTATTTAGATTCTTAAGTGTTTGTGGAATGTTTATACGTGAAATCTTTTTGAATAACTTTCTCAATAATATTATTGGAAGTCCTCTCTTATATAACGAACAAAATAATTTGTAAAATATATATATATATTTATAGAAGTTTCTTCAAATAATTTCTTGTTTGTATATCACAATTCATGATTTAAATTATAGATTAAATTTAAAGCAATAGCTAGGTTAAAGATTAAACCATTTAATAGGTTGTGACTGACAAAATATTGTCGAGAAAAATATTTTTAGTGCAGATTTAACCTTAACGTAATTAAAATATTTTCTTTGTACAATACGGAAAAATCAGTTTTCTTATGTTAAAAAAGACAAATCTTTTTTTTTTCTTTCGTTAAATATAAACTAAGCATTTAAACTACAATTTGTTACATAAATCTTATTTTCAAAGCGACAGGAAGTAAAATGTATCTTAAACTTCATTTAGTAAATACATATTCGATCTTCTGCATCCATGGATTTTGTATAATACTTCGTCGGACACTTCAGAGTGGCCGCAGTAGCCTAGTGGTCAAGGTCATGAACTCGGGCTGACGTATCATAAGTTCGAGTCTTGTGCGACTGAAGACCCGCAATGTGGAGGGTGCTGATGTTCGATGAATTTTCCGAGGCTCAAATGTCTTCCTCTTGGTGTGGTGTGGAAGTTAGGAGAGAGGAGAACCACCTTAGGTGTTATCCTTGTCCTTTGACCATGGTTTAAAATTACAAAGTCCATCACCGATAGCCCTTGTGCAGCTTTATAGAGTGATGTAAAAAAAAACTGTCATTCGTTTGGTGGAGCGGTTAAAAGATTAGGGGGAGGGGGAGGTGCCAGCTCGGGTGTCATCCTCGTCATTTTACTGAAACTAAAACACGCCAATAGCCCTCTTGTTACTTTTGAGTGCGATGTTAATATAACTCACTCCGGGAGATTTGAAAGGTGCTCTAAAAGAACTCTTTTATGTATATTAATTTATTTAAATTCAAATAATCCTGCTAGAACAGAAATATTTTCGCAGAGAAAACTTTCAAGAATTGTTAAATTAACTCAACCTGGAATCGTAATTTCACACAAATTTGCACAAATCGAGCTCTTTTAAAAGAATTTTAAGACTTCTAAAAGTGACGAGATTTCGAGAAGGGAATAAAATGTTGTAATTGGTGCATTTTAAGCTTTGTGAAACCCATTATTTGTCGTAGATATATAATCGTTATCTTGACTACAATTATTCCGAATTCCAAACACTCAGCCTAAAGCATCATAATAGAAGCGTCTACCTGGAATATCTTTTACAAGGATTTTTGAGTTAAAACGATATATTTTTATTTACGTCCAGTAAGTGGTGAAGTGATGATAAAGAAGCTTGTAGTTTCGAATATCAAGGCATTCCGTTAAATGCAAAGCAATGAATACACATTGTATGAAGAGATTTGTGAATCAGAATATGCATAACCACTGCATAATTTAATTTAAATCCCAAGATTTTATTTCAAACATTTTACTTAAGCCATTATTTTAAATCAAATATATCGCACACTCGTCAGTATAAACCTTCATTTTTCACACACACAGGTTACTCCATTACTAAATACAAAAACTACTGCTGATGCTTCTGCAGTGTCAAAAGATATAAACGGCAAGTATAAATTTTACTCTTTCGAAATTTATTTATTGCATATTTTATTTCGATTGTTTTTAAAAACTGAAATAACGAAACTACTACCAGAACTATACAAATTATTCATTGCTGTTTTTATAAGGATTTCTTAAGACATTTGAATATCCCATCATTCAAATTTTTGGGAGAGATTCGATGTTTTATTCAATTAAACAAACCTCATTGTAAATGTCGCTTATTAGAGCTTTCTTCGTGTAGTGATAAATAAGACTTGATTTTTAAAATAACTTTCTCAAGGCATATTCCTTACATTTGTGCACGTACTACTGTGACAAATAACCACACTAGTCTAAAAATTAGCATTATATAAAACAATGTACAATCCCCTTCAACATACTCCCCTTTCCTATCAATACATAGCTGCATACGAGTTTTCCACCGTTTAAAGCACTGCTGCGGCTCATTAGGGTCACTATCCACAAAAGTGCGCCGTTTTTATCTTCACCTCTCCTACAGAGCAAAGTGGCCGCGGTAGCCGAGTGGTATAGGTATCGGATCGTGGCTTGCTTTGTCACGAGTTCGAGCCCAGTATCACTAAAGACCCGTCGTGTAGGGCAACGATGCACGTTAAATCTGTCGAGAGCTGAAACACCTCCCGTTGGTGTGGTGTGGTAGTTAGGAGAGGGGGTGCCAGCTCAGGTGTCGTCCACGTCACTTGACCATGGTTCAAAATTACGTGGTCCGTCGCCAAAAGCCTCGTGTAGCTGAACAGTGCGAGGTTAATATTCAATCAATCAACCTACAGACCGAAAATGTGTTCCCATCAATACATTTTTCACTTTAAGAAACAGGTGGAAGTTGTATGGTGTCAGATCTGGTGAGTAAGGTGGATGCTCGAGCACAGTAATGCGTTTGTCCACCCAAGAACTATTTTACAGAGAGCGCAATGTGAACCGAAGCGTTGTCTTGGTGCAAAATCCATGTGTTCTTGCTCTACAGATCATGCCTTTTCTTCCTCACTCTTTATCGAAACATTCTCGAAACTTCAATGTAGTACGGCTGTTTTACCGTTTGTCTTCAAGGTACCAATACAATCACGATGATGCCATTAATATCGAATAAAAACGATGAGCATCGCCTGTTCTTGATGTCACAAATCGATAAGAACGTCCATCCTGTTCAACAACTTCCCGCGATCTTCCGAAAATCATTTGTGTCATTCAAAAATTTGACCATGGGACGTGCAATTATCTCCAAACGCTCCTTTAACAATTTAAAACATGCTGCTGGATTTTTTTTCACTGGCACTTCGACACAACAACGTCTTCTCTCAAACCAGGATAAAAAACAAGCTGACCTAGATAGAGGGATGGAATAGCGTGCTATCAGCACCGGGAAGATCAAAAGGTTAACGATATTCCCACTCCTTCACATCGAGCTTAAGCGGCTAGGGCATGCGCCGTCTGGGAATTTAATTACCACACCTTATAGACTTATTTACCCTATTGAAAGCAGCTTACTTTATTTCTTCAGCTTGAATTGATCGGGTTCTGTAATAAATGTTCCATATTTCAACTACTGTGACGTAATATTTAGTTTTCACTTTTACACGGTAAATACAAAAAAAATTATTGAATTGCTTTTTGAATTTTAATAAATTTGTGCTACGTTATTAACTAATATGAAGAATGGGGGCATTTTTCAGGTTTTGAAAAACAAAATTCTTAAACACCAAGCTCTTTAAAGCAAAGACATATATGAAACCTTACGAATTTAATTAAACGTGCTAGATTCTTATCCCAATAGAAATTTAGGCATAACGGACCATTCTGAGTGTCGTTATCGTCACTCGAACATGGTTTAAAATTCTATCTCCAGTTTTTGGAGCGTGATAGATTTTGATTGGTCAAAATCCTGTTGTCAAATTTGAGTCTCAATTTCCGTTGGCGACAAAGGATTTACAGAGTAAATTTAACTATGCAGTAAGCATTTGTTTGTTTTAACCCTTTAGTTTCAAGTGTATTGCAATCGTCAATGCTCTGTAATTTGACATTACTTTATTGTAACCACACCGTACTTGATTTCTTAGTATGGAGCTAATTTGATATCCGAGTGTTGCGTGCCAAGTTGTTTATGTTCGCCAAGATAGGCGATAACATTACAATATGGTTACCTTGATATTTTTTATCGTGCAGAGTTATGTGGGTACCATGGGAATGACGCCCACACACACATTATAGTTAATTTTTATTGTTTTTGAAGTTATACTTCTTTTGAGAGGCGCGTTAGAGAAATAGGATGAGGGTAAATTTTTACAATGCGCGCGCACACCGTCACGGATGTGACGCAAAACCGTCACAGATGCGAAAATCCTTTGTCTAGAAATATACAGAATGGGACGAAAATCATTCCCTTCAAAATTCTCAAAAAAAAATTTTTCTCTTCACTTCCCTGAAGAAGGGAGCATCCGGATTTGAACCGGGGACCTCTCGATCTGCAGTCGAATGATCTACCACTGAGCTACACCTCCACGTCAGCGAACCTTTGCTTTGCGTTCCGTAGAAACGGATACGAAAATGCTTTGTCTTGAAATATGCAGAACGGGACAGATCATTCCCCTTTCGACCCCCTCCCCATATTATTGGTCCTGTTGTCCCTGTGCGGAGATGCTTAAATTTATTTAAATCGTGATTATCTCAGGTTTGGCTGGTCCGATTGACTGAAAGTTAGTATCGTTCAACTCTGCTCGTGACCGTCTTTCATCCTTGGCCCAGCTTGCCCTGCTAAAGGTTTTTAGAAAGATTTAAATCTAGTTACGCCAAAGAAGTATAACTTACGTGCGTACACAAGTACACACACATCCCCTCCGCGGTATCCCTTTTTAATTTGATTTCCTTAAAAGGGTAACAATTTTCATTGAATTATTCTTCAACCTAGTTGCTTCAGTCTTCTGTACTATTTTGTGCTTTTTTTGGATATCGATATTTCTAGTATCCCTGGTAAGTACCAGGATAATTTTTTAAAAATAATGAGGGTCTGTGCTTTTAATTATTGCTACAAACTACGAATTTTCCTCTTTATTTTACTTTTAAATGTGTTTTTAAACATTCTTTGTTCGATGAAATTCATTAAAGGAACACGCAGCTTTTGGAATATTGCAAGTTATCAGCAATTATTAATTGATTTATTATTAATTTTAATGTATATTGTGTAATTATTTTATTCATAATATAATTGTCATATAGTACAATTATTATATAGTATTATATTTTTACAATTTGTTTAAAATAATTATATTACGAGTTATTATATATGTAATAATTATATTATATTATGATTATCGTTGTATATAATTACTATTAAATTATATTGCATGATTATTATACATTACATGATATAATTATTATATAGAATTACTATTATTGTATTGATATTAATTATTCATTGATATTTTGCTTATTTTCAATCTGTCCTTTTTATTCTTTACTTGAAATATACTTCAATATATTTTATATAAAACAGTTCTTTAAAATTTATTTCTGAAGATTTGTTACCACTAGGCCACCATCTTGCATTGCATAGCATTCAGCACAAGTTCTGCTTGGTGCGTAGAACTTGGATATCAAAAATTAGTTACGTATTCAAATAGGCCTTCAAATAAAATACAATTTTACACCAAAAATGAATATAAAGGATTACCAAGATAAGTCGCATAAATCGAGAGAAATACACCACAGTATATAAAAATGTAAATAATTTAATGTTCTTTAGACGGCTCGGTACTTTTTGATCCACGGGTCGGTACCGATCTGTGGCCTGGGGATGGGAACCCTGATTTAACTTTAGATGGGAATAGGAAACATTCAAAGGGGAGAAATATAATACCAGTAAATAAGGCAATGTCTTTTGGTTGAAACGCAACTGAAAATTATTGCGAGATTGTCATGAAGAATGAACTTAGAGATTCCCATACTGTAAAGCATATTTTAACTTCGATGCTTTTCCCTATAGTAGTTGCTGTAATAAAGTACCGTAATTTTACCCCCAGTGATCAACAAAAGCACTTGCATCGAAGATAAGCATGCTTCTTGGCCATCATACAAAGAAACATTTAGATGTCAATCTTCAGGGCAACGGCAGCCATCTCGAGTATCGAGAAGATTTCCTTTCTATTTTACAAGAAATATTACTATTCTTCGAATGCCGAAATATGTTGCACCAAACCTAGTTTTGCCGATCAGCAGTACGGAATGGAATCGACGACCGATGTCTCCCGTTGTACAATGTGCAGCTCCATGATTCATTTGTTCCATTTTGCCACCCTTCCTCTCCAGTATGGGTAAGTTTAAACTTGCACATGAACACTCGCATTACATTTAGTACAGTGTTAAAAAAAAATTACCTTTAATGATTTTTGGATTTTTCCCTCTTCTGAAAAAAATATATACGAACAGCTGGGAAGGAATCGAGTTACAAGGAGTTTATCAACACAATTAAAAATTTTTTACTTAAGAGTGCTGGTTTTCAAGCAAAATTAAGCAAGGAATGCTCTAAATCATCGGTTCTTAAACTGTGATCCACGGACCCCTGGAGGGCTGCGGTAGCCAAGTGGTCAAGGCATGTCATGAGTTCGAGCCCAGTACCACCAAGGACCCGCCCTGTAGGGCAGCGATGCACGTTAAATCTGTCGAGAGCTGAAACGTTCTCCTCCCGGTGGTGTGGTGTGGTAGTTAGGAGAGGGAGGTTCCAGCTCAGGTGTCGTCCACGTCACTTGACCATGGTTCAAAATTACGTGGTCCGTCGTCAAAAGCCCTCGTGTAGCTGAACAGTGCGACGTTAATATTCACTCACTCACTCACTCTCTCCGCGGACCCCTGTGGGTCTCCAGCGCTTTTCTAGGGGCCCACGAAGATCTCCCATTTAATGTTAAGAGTTTCCTCTTTTATATAAATTCCTAAAGGCTCATAGGGATTGAAAGATTTGCTATCTTAGACTAGATCATTAACTTGCTCCAATGAAAAGACTCGACTCGAACATGCATTTCGTTCAAGAAAAATTTAGTTTTTTAAATTTTTTGCACCTACATTAACATTCCTAAAATTTATATTTTCAAAAAATAGTACATCTTGTTTTAATAATTAAATCACTATTTTTTAATAGAATTGTGCCTGCAAGAAGTCCCTTCCAAACTCTTAGAATCACTCACGGGAAATTTTCTGAGTTGTCCATAAAGGCTCTGAAATTTCTGATGCCTTTCCAAATTACTAATTATATGAAAGAACAATTTCAGCTCTTTGTCTTAAAAATATGTATAGAAAGTGTAGATAAAGAATTGAGGCTGCAGGATTTCCAATATTACACCTCATATAACAGCCCTTGTAGAATAAAGGCAGTATCTTCCTTCTCATTAAAAATTTTAATTAATGCAACTAATTACATTACACATTTATTTGAAAACAATATCTTTTAAGAATATTTTTAATTAAATGTTTTTACGATTTTCTTAAAAAAAAAGGAAGTAGTAAAAAAGTCTGTATATATAAGTAACAAAGGCAGGATTATTGAGGAATTTTTAAATCCCTCAACCATATGTTGGAAGCCGGGGAAGGGTATTATTCAAAATCTTGGGGGATCCCCAATGCCATGCTGATATTTAAAGGGGAGGGAGGAGGCATTCGAAAGTTAAAGAACCACTGCTCTAAATAACTTCTATTTAAAGTTTTTTTTTTTTGAAGTTATTTGTCCTAGATATATTTACGAAGGTACTGCAAAGAGCCTGATAAGAAATTATTCTGTGATAATTATAAATCTTCAAAACGCGCGCGCGTTTAATATTTTTTCATTAACTACAAACATTTTTTAAAAAATTTAACCTTATTTTATATACGATGTTTATCTAGAGGAAAAACAGACCCTTTCTGTTATAAAAAAATGAAAAACACTATTTATTTGAGGGAAAATGCTATCTTCGCTTCTCCGCATAATCACCGTCTTTATTTAAACATTTGTAATATCTTTTCGGGAGCTTCAGAATTTCCACGTTATACTCTTCCACAACCAATGCATTAAGCCAGGTGATTACCGCATTCCCAAACTTTTCATCACTTCCGAGATGTTTACTGTTCAGAAACTAAGGAAAAAGGATCGCTAAGAGCAAGGTCCGGATTAACGACCTTTTGTTTGACTGTAGTAATTACAAAGCTTAATGAATGGGTAGACAGTACAACATGAAAATTCAGAAGGTCGTGATAGGACTTCACAAATTTTTGAAAAAAGGCGGGGTATGTTAAGAGAAGGGAGTTTCAGGTATGTAAAATAATAATTTTCGACAATAATGTGTTTTTATTTTGTATAACTGAATGGTCTTTATTTTCTGGATGACCTCGTATAAATTAGAACAATCGTTTTTATAAGCATTAATATAAAACCTTACGAAGGATATATTGCTGACGTGAGTGAATATTAGCGTCGCACTGTTCAACTACACGAGGGTTTTTGGTGACGGACCTCGTAATTTTGAACCATGGTCAAATGACGAGGACGACACCTAAGCTGGAACCCCCTTTCCTAAATACCACACCAACGGGAGTACGTCTGAGCTCTCGACAGGTTTAACGTGTGTCGCTCCCCTTCACAGAGGCAGTGGTACTCGGCTCAAACTCGTGACAAGCTAGCCACGATCCGACACCTTGACCACTAGGCTACCGCGGCCACATATATTGTTGACGTGGAAGATATTAATAATTATAGTAGGGACTGGATATTCGTCGATGATGACACAGGAAAAATCGTTTATATTCTCTACTATGCTCTTTCTGAGTTTGTGCATTTGCTGAATTGTATAAACTGCTTTTCAGTTCTTTAAAGGCATTGATTATTTTTTTATTGCCAACAGACACCTTTATAATTTCAACCTTTCTCTTTTCCTTGAAAAGAAGTTATTACCTTTCCAAATATTACAAGCTTTATAGCTACAATGATCAGATTAGAGCTACTGCCTTTCTTTATTCTTGACACAATAACCCCAGTGCCTCAAGAGACGGTCCTTTTTCCTTGACAGGAGATGGGCTTGACTCAAAAGAAATATCCCTCCTTGAAACCTTCAATCTGTTTTAAGTTGGATTCTGATCGAATAGATTTTCATATTAACTCTTGACTGGACTTTAGAAAAAAAAAGGTTCCAGCATTTAGTAGACAAATGGATCTGGAAACTTCATAGCGTCCCATGCTCGGCACTGAAAATTTATACCCATAGCACCATGGATGACACGAAGTGACGTTTACATTGAGAAGTCTGAAAGCGCTATTAACGCAGTGACTAAAAATGTTGTTCTGTTTTTAGGTCTGAGTTTATCGCAATCTACAAAGTCCTGCAATATACTGACAAGTGCCCAGTCATACCTCTATACAGAAACTTTTTCACTGTGGAATCTGGGAGTCAAGACGAGCCATCATTTTAAATCACATCTTATAATTTAAAAAAAATTTTTTTTTTCCTCTCTGTTCGCTTTCAACGGGCCGCCTTCCATG